AAGTAAATAACAGGCATTGCTTAAATGCCTTTATATGCAAGCTATAGAAAATAAGAGTAGATAGGAGACATAATAGAAATGGTGAAAACACATTCGTGTGAAAAAATATTCAACCAAGAATACGTTCGTTGCATATATTTCCTGATCTTTATTAGCCATCTGGAATGCTACACTTAAAAATAAATAAAATGTGTTTATAGCAAGCCATCTATACCCATTGCTAGCACATTTGTATTTATCAATAAAATTGTCTTTAAAACTTAATTATGATACTCCGTTGCCCAGTGATTAAATAAAAAATTCATTATTGCTCCTAAAATGCACTCTTTAGGATTTAGAAATTGTCAGTAAATAAAAAATATATATTTGTTACACTTACCTTTATTAAAGGTACGCTCTAAACACCAAAACAACTTTAGCTTAACCCCTTAAGGACACATGACATGTGTGACATGTCATGATTTCCTTTTATTCCAGAAGTTTGGTCCTTAAGGGGTTAAAGAAGATGTTTTAGTGTTAGTGTAAAGATGTTATCTACACCTAGAATATGTCATGCCCCTGTAGTCTCACTGCTCAGTTCACTAAGAATGCAGCTTCACAATGAACGTAAAATGGATGCTGTCCAGGAGGTGGGAGGGTCTGGGAGGGAGGGTCTGCTGCTGATTGGCTGGAATGTGTCTGCTGACTGTGAGGTACAGGGTCAAAGTTTACTCAATGATGACATAGGGGCGGACTGAACAGCGCATATGTTCGCCGTCCGTGGCGAACAGTTCGGCGAACCGTTCGGGATATTACTAGTTATTACAGAACTTGTGGCTTTAGACAGCATTTTTAGAGCTTTCCAGGTTCATGCGTGTAAAGTTCATGCCTTCATAAGTAAGTTTCTCAGTTTCTTTGGCCTGCATGGGTTTTGGTCAAACAGACGCAATTGCAAAATTGCAAAATAGTTAATAAAGGGTTAGCCAGAGGGGACTAGTGAGCAGTTCCCAAGAATCTGATGGCACAAACACTCCAGGGGGTCTCTACAATCATACAAACACAAGGATTAGAGATGAGCAGACCTGGATGTTCAGGTTTGCCGGGTTCGGCCGAACTTCGGCAAAAAGTTCGAGTTCAGACTCTAACTTGACCCGAACTTGACCCTGAACCCGAACCCCATTGAAGTCAATGGGGACCTGACTTTTGGGCACTAAAATGGCTCTAAAAAAGTCCTGGAAAGGGCTAGAGGGCTGCAAAAGGAAGTAAAATGGGGGTAAGAGTAGGACAAGTGCCCTGCAAACAAATGTGGATAGGAAAATATAACGGCACCCCCAGGCATAAAAGGGGTTAAAAACCGTTTAGTAGATATTCCCTTCCACAAGCAGCTACTGAAAACACCAATCTGCCGAACAGGAAAACATACAAATTGTCCAAACAGCCGAACTGGAACCATACGAATGCTTTAAACAGCCGAATAGGAAAAACCCTACGAACGGTTTACACTCCTAGCAGTCAAACTGGAAACAGCATACAATAAATCCCCCCAAGAACGAGACAAGGCTCTGTGTTGGGGGTCAAGCAGTGGTCTGTTTAATCTGGGCTACCTGCCCGGTATTTATGCAGGTCTTCAACCAGGTGGACACTCCCATAGGGGACCTGGTGGAAGACTGGGACACAAAGTGTACACTGACCAATAGAAACAGTTTAACAGTCAACACTCCCACGGGTACATTATAATCCCTCCTCTCTATCCTGGAGATTATTGGGAAGTAATCCAATTATCTCCAATGACAGCGGCAAAACTCAATTGAACACATGGCAGTAAAAACACATAAAATATACAATGTTGCATCTAGAGCATAAAACATATACATTCAACATATCCCCAGATAGCTTAGATCTGAGCGCACATTATTACTGAATGGCGCTCAGATCATATACATACAGTTCAATCGCCATGGAGCCAAAGTCTTTCACATAGTCTTTCGGTATACGAATGGGCTCCATGGCATAGCTATCTGGGGTAGCATTGTTCACTCAAAGTACTCAAAGGCCCGGCATTCGTATGAATGAGTGTAGGAGAAGGGGGGTCTGCAGCTCAGTGGTGATCGTGAATATAATTGTCCATTTTCAGTTCCATAGTTTTGTAGTTGAACACCGCTGGCCGTTCGGCAGTTTAAAATGGCTGCTGCTACGTGTTCGGCTATATGAACAATGGCCACCCAGCATTTGTCAATTAAGCTGCGGTTAACCACAGCTTCTGGGAGGTAAATTACTGTCACACTCCATACCCAGGTGGTCCGGTCATTCGTCTGTTTGTTCGGTAGAATCAAGCTACCGAACACCCAGGCAGAAAGGCACGAACAAGCCTTTCTACAGGGAAAAATAAAGGTTTTTAACACGGGGCCATAGTCCAGAGGTAGCAGGCGAGCAACCTTCTCCAGAACATGGTGGAGAGGTTGGTTTTGCCACATCTCTCCCCTTTCCCCAAAAAACTAACAAGGTACCTGACCTCCTGTCAGTCAGTGCCTTGGTTAGTCCAGCAACCCACCCACAAAACATAGTTAGTAGTGCAGCTCACCCACAATGAATAGTTACTGCACCTGGGGAAATGTGTAGCTGGTCATTGTCCAGGAGCTTCACCACGGCTGTGTCGGGTACTGCTAGTCCAGGTCTGTGGGTTGCTGAGTTGGCAGAGACCAGCGGTACTCTGCCCCAGTGCCAGAGCTTCAGCTGGAGTAGCCTGGTTGGTGCTTAGCTAGGAAGAGGGGGTAGTATGCTCCTCTCCCTGGAACCGGTGCAACTGCGGGAGGGGAAGACCGACTGTCTCCCCTTCTGTTAAACAGTCCTGTTGCTGGGGGTCTGGACAGGCTGTCCCTACTCCCTGTAGTGTGGGCACAGAGACCACGGTCCCATCTGCGCCTATGGGGAGCTTAATGTCTCCCCTTGGTGGGCTAGGCTGCCGCTGGGGAGGGAGGACGAGGCTCTCCTCTCCCAGTATAAGACTCTGCCGCTGGGGAGCAGGACCGACTGTCTGCGCTCCCTGTAGTTTGGGCACAGAGACCACGGTCCCATCTGCACCGGTGGGGAGCTGATTGTCTCCCCTTTGTGGGCTAAGCTGCCGCTGGGCAGAGGGGGCAACAGGCTCCTTTCCCTTACACACTTTCAGCCGCTGGGGAGGGAGACTGACTGTCTCCACTCCCAATACATTGTCCTGCTGCTGGGGAGAGAGACCGACTGTCTCTGCTCCCTGTAGGACATTCTGCTGCTGGGGAAGGGAGACGGTGCTCTTCTCTCCCTGCAAGGGATACTGCCGCTGGGGAGGAGAGACGATGCTCTCCACTCCCTGCACTTCACACTGCTGCTCTCAATTCCCTGCAAATCAAGCTGCCGCTGGCGATCTGGGCCGACCGCCCAGCATCCCTGTAGCTCACCCTGCTGCTGGGGAGGGTCGTCGCTGCTCTCCTCTCCTTGTGGGGCCAGTGGAGAGACCCCAGTCCCATCTCTACTGGCCGGCTGGAGGTCCTCCCAGTACACCTCGACAATATCCTCCCAGCTGAAGGGATCTGGACCTGAGTCTGCCACGATGCTCTCCTGCTTGGTATCCTTGATGGAGTGGAAAAAATGTTTGTAATCCTGCTCCAGTTCCCACTCCAGGGTTGCGAGGTGTACCAAGTCTGCTACCACTTCGTGGGGGTCATCCCAGTCTTGCATACCCTCCCTCCAGTCAAAAATATCATCAAACCGGGTCTCTTCAGGGCTCCCAAAGTCAGGTTTTGTGCACGCCTCCCACAGCAAGCCAGGGCCATTAAACTCCTCTCCCTCTGGGTTATCGAACCATATACCACCAGTGCCTGGTAGGCATCCTCTAGCCATAGCTCCTGTCAAACCCGGTGTTCCAGCTCCTTTACCCATTGCTCCAGGGGCTGCTCTCTCAGGAAGGGCATCCGCAGTGCCAGTCGCATCTGCAATCGCGGTTCTTAACTGGGGAGACTCTCGCCCCGCTGGTACTGTACATTATCCAAGGCCTGGTACCAGATGCCTTTCCAGGTCCTCCTCCTCCTCGTATACTTAAAATAACATAAAATACTTAACAATTAAAAATAATAATCTTGAACTAGGAGGAGGAGGTGGATGTGGAGTAGGAGGTTGAGGAGGCGGTGACTGTGGCGGTGTAGGTGGAAGCGGCGGTTGAGGCGGAGGAGGTAGCCAACACTGTTTTTTGTTTGTTTGTTTTTTTTTTTTTTTTAATTGGGGTAGCCCCCAAAATATTGGGACATATAAAAAAAGAAAACAAAGAATAAGTGCACTTGAGTTTAACAATGGCTGGGTGAGGCCGGTATAAATGTCTATTCTGCACAAGGTACAGACAAGTCTGGTGTGATCCATGGCTGGTTTATTTTAATAAATGTGAGCTTGTCCACATTGGCTGTGGACAGGTGGCTGCGCTTGTCTGTGATAACGCCCCCTGCTGTGCTAAACACACGTTCACACAATACACGGGCTGCAGGGCAGGCCAGCACATCCAAGGCATAAAGGGCAAGCTCAGGCCATGTGCCCATTTTGGAGACCCAGAAGTTGAATGGGGCAGACCCCTCAGTTAGTACGTGTAGGCATGTGCACATGTACTGTTCCACCATGTTGCTGAAATGTTGCCTCCTGCTAAGATATTCCATATTAGCTGGTGGTGCTGGTTGTTGTGGCGTGATGACAAAGCTTTTCCACATTTCGGCCATGCTAACCCTGCCTTGTGAGGTGCTGGCGATGACCCAGCTGCATTGGCGACCTCTTCCTCCTCCTCTGTCTCTGCCTTGTGCTTCCACTAAGCCCCCAGTGTCAGTTGGGAATACCCTAAGCAGCGCGTCTACCAACGTGCGCTTGTAGTCGCGCATCTTCCGATCACGCTCCAGTGAGGGAATTAAGGACGGCACGTTGTCCTTGTAACAGGGATCCAGCAGGGTGGCCACCCAGTAATCAGCACAAGTTAGAATGTGGGCAACTCTGCAGTCGTTGCGCAGGCACTTTGGTGACTCTAAATAAACTCGGGCCGATCGCACCTCCCCGTGATGGCGACGACGCATTCCGATGTTTGCCCTATAAACTTTCGATGTTACTTTCTGTGCCTACCATGGTGACCACGGGTAACGGGGAATCAGGGTTCGATTTCGGAGAGGGAGCCTGAGAAACGGCTACCACATCCAAGGAAGGCAGCAGGCGCGCAAATTACCCACTCCCGACGCGGGGAGGTAGTGACGATAAATAACAATACAGGACTCTTTCGAGGCCCTGTAATTGGAATTAGTACACTTTAAATCCTTTAATGAGGATCTATTGGAGGGCAAGTCTGGAGCAGAGCGACTGACCCGTGCGTGCTGCAGCTGAAACTCCACTGTCACCTGCTGCTGCTCGCACAGTCTCTCCAGCATGTGTGAGGTGGAGTTCCACCTTGTGGGCACGTCGCATATGAGGCGGTGAGTAGGAAGGCTGAAGTTACGCTGCATCCCAGACAGGCGAGCAGCAGCAGGGTGAGAACGCCGAAAGCGCACCCAGCCACTACAGTGAAACTGTGAATGACTCATTAAATCAGTTATGGTTCCTTTGATCACTCCATCTGTTACTTGGATAACTGTGGTAATTCCAGAGCTAATACATGTCGACGAGCGCTAGGGTACGGCCGCTCCGCTTTTGCACCCTGCTCCCTCTTATGCTGTGCTGGTGCCTCTGTGCGACCACTGCCTCTTCCTCCAAACTGCACACGTCACTCGCATGACCTTCATTCCATGTGGGGTCTAGGACCTCATCATCCTCCACATCATCTTCCACCCACTCCTCAACCCTGCCCTCCTTGCCAGTCTGCACACTGCAGAAAGCCGCAGCAGTTGGCACCTGTGTTTTTCCAGCATGTAAAGTCTGCAAAGGACATATGGAAATTGTTTTAGAATTATATCCAGGCAATAGTTGTCCCTATAAACTGACCTTCAGTTGTGAGGGTATTGCCCCAGAATTGCAATATTGTTTAAGTACCTCTTAGCTATTGATAACTGGTTTAAATATAGCAGTTTGTTATCTGGTAGTTTCTAGTGTAGAAAATATCAGTCACTTACAACAAGTGTTGTAGGTGTGAAACAATATTACAAGTGACCGATGTAGTAAATTCGAATCAAAGTTCCATTTGCAAAAAAAAAATTCTCGCCCATCTTCTGTAGGTTATTGCATTTTTAAGATGTAGACTTATTGTATCACACTAGCCATGCACAAGTAGATGGTCTGGCACGTTGTTTTGGTGTTTGTTTTTAACTTTGTAGTTGTGTCTTTATACAATATAGAAATGCATATTAATGCTTCTGTATATGAAATCGATCACAATAACACTTATTTTTCACTTTTTAAAAAAGTCTTTAGACTTTTTTGAAAAGTGGTAACTAGCCAGTGTTGCACACATACACCAGATATGAAGTGCACACCCCAAATGTACTATTTAGTACCCCAAAAATTTGAATTTTTAAAACTGCGCTGTAACCACAGTATTTGACGGTTCTATTTGACTCTCAGATATGAAGTGCACCGCAGGCCGCAAATGTACTATTTAGCACCCAAAAAAATTAGAATTTTTAAAACTGCTATGTCACAGCAGTATTTGACGGTTCTATTTGACTCTCAGATAGGAAGTGCACACCCCAAATGTACTATTTAGCACCCAAAAAAATAGAATTTTTAAAACTGCGCTGTAACCACAGTATTTGACGGTTCTATTTGACTCTCAGATATGAAGTGCCCCAAATGTACTATTCAGCACCAAAAAGTTAGTTTTTTTAAACCAACAATGTAACAGTAGTATTTCAGGGTTTTATTGGACTGCAAGAAATGCAGTACGCAAATGCACTATTTAGCACCAAAAAAATTGCAGTTTTTAAAAATGCCTAGATGTTGCCCACTGAGCTACCAGAACAGGATTAAAGTAATGTGCCTGGCACACATGCAATTGCAAGTGCACTGCACTCTCTGTGGCACTGGGCTCAGGGCAGGGTACAAAAATGTAGTATAGCACCCACAAATATAATTGCTGTAGTTTGCAGATTAAACACCAGAATTCTTTCCTAATCTGTCCCTCACAGCTGCAGCATCCTCTCCCTACCCTAATAAAAGCTCATGTGACGTACGGCGCTACGTGACTCCAGCTTATATATAGAGGCTGGGTCATATGCTGCACTGGCCAATCACAGCCATGCCATTAGTAGGCATGGCTGTGATGGCTTCTAAGGGCACACGAGGCAAACACTTGTTGATTGGCTGCCCTGCATTAATTCGCCGAACACCGAACTCCAACCCGAACATACACTGAAATGTCCGTGTTCGGGTCCGAGGTGCAAAAACCGTAATGTTCGGTACGAACCCGAACTTTGCAGTTCGGGTTCGCTGAACTCTAATTATAGGTAATAAAGTCTACTTATGCATTTTTATCACTACTACTTTCCATAAAAAAATCCATTCTTTACAAACTTAATGTTCAATATTGCACAATCACTCTTATTCTTCTAATTAGAAATGAATGAGAATAATTAGTAAAATTAGTAAAATTAGCAATACTTGGCTTTAGACAGAAGAATTCATATATTGACTTAACAATAATACCATCAAACATGTAATGCACATGCAACTATGTAATTACATTTATAACTGAGCAGCAAATATTAAACTTAGCATAAATATATTATATTCCATTTTTATGTTAAAAATATTTAATTTACTGAATAGTTTTAAACAAAGTCAACACAAAGTACAATATCAATAAATTACAGTAAAGATCAAATGAAAAATAAGATGGCATCACACAGAGAAAATCTACACAGGGAGTCTGAATATTTTTATATACACTATATATAAATATGTGATGTATGTTTGATGATCAGTACTTTAGATGGCCCATTATCTACATTGTGGCTGTGCCTTGGGGGTCATTCAATGATATAAAGCACATAGAAGCAAAGAATAAATAGAATCAAACTGAATATTTGCCTTGGGATGGTTCTGAATGACATTTGTTACATTTGCTGTCTTTAGAACTATTGGGCAGCATTCACAAACTCAAATTCATTCACACTTTTATGTATTCTTCTTTTTGCCAGTTTGCTATAAGAAACATTTAGAATGTGGTTTTTCATGCATCTTAATCTGTATTTGAAGCATCTGTAAAATTGGATTCATATGGTTTTTAGAATATCTATCTGTGACAGACCGCCTGGCACCCCGACCGGGTACCTCCCTCAATCGCTGCTTCTTTGTACTTGTGAGCACCATAAGCACTGTACTGGAATGCCATAACCACCGTAAACCCCACGAACCGCCGCAGCTTGGTTAGGGTCTCTCTGTCCTCCACCCACCCTGGACCCAAGACCAGGATTCAGCTTCCAGTGGGTAGATCTCTCCTAGTCCAGAGAGTGTAGCAGGGACAGTTCTTATAAGAGCTAGTGATTATACTCAGGGGAGCATAGTGATATAGAATCCCCAGAGTGAATGTAGTTCTCCAATCCCCCAAACATGAGCCAAGACTTCATGAAGGGGTAAACAAATCTCAGTTTAATGAGAGCCCCACTTGGCCTTATATGACAATCCCCATTCAATGGGTACGCCCACATGGACCTGATGATAGACTGGTTTACAAAGTCACAGACCAATAACAATAAGGCTACAAGGCACGACACTCCCACACACAGCATACAATCCCTCCCCTCTGCCTGGGAGATAATCGAGTCACACACTGTATTAACCCAATTATCTCCAGGCAGAAAAAAACTGATTTCTATAAAAGCCCAAAAGTACCCCAAAACACATAATAACCCACATATTACATCCCCTCATAGCCCTGATCTGGGTGTCCAACATATCCAAGAATCACCCAGATCAGTTCATGGGTTCAGGAATTCTATGGAAGTGATTTATTTGACCGACCGCAGGCATGGTCCCATGCCCAAAACAGTTCTAGAGAATCAGGGCTTGTGGTCGGTCTAGTGCTGTAGTTTGTAAATGAACAAACTACCGAACAGAGTCAATAGTCTAACCCTGGAGCTTGTTCCCCTCATCCAGATGAATGATCTCACATAACAGTACCCTTCTAAGTTGAATAGAACCGAACGCAGGTGATGATGAAAGTCCAGCGGTGTTTGGGAGTTTCTGTATCTGATTTTAGTTCCATGAGATTTATGCACAAACACCGCGTTCATGTGAACAAGATGGCCTCCACCTCATGGTTGTCCATAGGCCACTCAGACGAACAATTAGAACACTGCAGTGAGAAATGTTCAAAGTTGTTAATAGGTGTTAACAAGCTCCAGGGTGGTCTCTGAAATTGGCCGATCAGTTTACTGTGAATTATATTCAGTCAGGTCCATAAATATTGGGACATCGACACAATTCTAATCTTTTTGAAATGAAACAAACAAGATGTGCTTTATCTGCAGACTTTCAGCTTTAATTTGAGGGTATTTACATCCAAATCAGGTGAACAGTGTAGGAATTACAACAGTTTGTATATGTGCCTCCTACTTTTTAAGGGACCAAAAGTAATGGGACAGATTAACAGTCATAAATCAAACTTTCACTTTTTAATACATGGTTGCAAATCCTTTGCAGTCAATTACAGCCTGAAGTCTGGAATGCATAGACATCACCAGACGTTGGGTTTCATCCCTGGTGATGCTCTGCCAGGCCTCTACTGCAACTGTCTTCAGTTCCTGCTTGTTCTTGGGGCATTTTCCTTTCAGTTTTGTCTTCATCAAGTGAAATGCATGCTCAATCGGATTCAGGTCAGGTGATTGACTTGGCCATTGCATAACTTTCCACTTCTTTCACTTAAAAAACTCTTTGGTTGCTTTTGCAGTATGCTTCGGGTCATTGTCCATCTGCACTGTGAAGTGCCGTCCAATGCGTTCTGAAGCATTTGGCTGAATATGAGCAGATAATATTGCCTGAAACACTTCAGAATTCATCCTGCTGCTTTTGTCAGCAGTCACATCATCAATAAATACAAGAGAACCAGTTCCATTGGCAGCCATACATGCCCACGCCATGACACTACCACCACCATGCTTCACTGATGAGATGGTATGCTTTGGATCATGAGCAGTTCCTTTCCTTCTCCATACTCTTCTCTTCCCATCACTCTGGTACAAGTTGATCTTGGTCTCATCTGTCCATAGGATGTTGTTCCAGAACTGTGAAGGATTTTTTAGATGTTGTTTGGCAAACTCTAATCTGGCCTTCCTGTTTTTGAGGCTCACCAATGGTTTAAATCTTGTGGTGAACCCTCTGTATTCACTCTGGTGAAGTCTTCTCTTGATTGTTGACTTTGACACACATACACATACCTCCTGGAGAGTGTTCTTGATCTGGC